GAAATAAGGCATAATTATAGTTATCAAGACTTTTACTCATAATAGATTGTTCTCTATCACCTCCTTGGGCAAAGTTCCCACACAATGGTCAATGGCAGGTGACCTAAACTTCGTCAAGTATTTCTCTTTGTGATCTGTGAGACAAGCAGGGTAATTATAGGTAGCTTATAAAATATCGTTGAACGTCGCAAACCACTTTTAAGACGGGTGTCATTTATCCAGTCCCATTAAATAGTTTTTGTCGTTCTTTCTGGTTGTGAGATATAAAACGCTATTAATCGCATTGGATTATGATGTTTCGTTCTTGAAGGGAACCCTGCAAGTCAAATTCTCTAGAAATTATTCGGTAAATATCTTCTTAAATGTTTTTGGAACGATGTTTTAGTCATAAATCGTGTATTGTTTTTTTTTTTTAGATAGCCTTCTCGTGAAAAAATGAAATAAGACAATAAAGCATCTTTTTTTTTCAATAATTAACTCAACTCTTCTCAAAAACAGGTCTAATAATCATATTTTGGTTGTTCCATATTTTGCTGATGTTGACTCACCGAAATCACATTTCATACAAACCCGATTAATAAGTTTTATGTAAAATTGGTTTCGCATCATCATCGACATCGCACCAACATCAACAGCTGCATTCCGTTGCCTTTCTGATCAAAAGAAATTAAGCGCTTTGACAATAAATACTCAGTGTTAAAAAACATATTTTCTCAAATATATGTGTGCGTGTATATAAATCTCATCTGCGATGAATTGAAGCGCTTTTCAGAAAATCTGATAATGAAATACCGCCACAGGCTGCACCCTGAACCCCTTCAGGGTCTCTCCGGACGCAATTTCCAGTTGAAATATTAAGTGAAAGCGATGACTTACACAAAATTGGAAAGGCGCTATAAATCCAACCGCGGTCTCCCGTCTTCATGGTTGATGTGGACTCGATCGCCTATCTAGACGCATTGCAGTCTGAATCCCGAGCAGAAACACGCTCCGTTACATCCCCGTTGAAGAAGACTTCCCGTTTGGGCCGTAAGGTGAGTCACACCTGAGAGCTGGTTTTGTGAAAGCAGACCCACCCTCGTTCAGACAGGTGAGAATACGGACTCCTGCTGCGTCACAGCAAAATCACTGGGTACTGAAAACTGTATGACGGTACACAGCGAATAAAACTACATTTTTCCGAAGAGCATTTCCAACTACATTAGGAGCACGCATCTTTTTTTTTCTGTCACAGGTTAATATGTTACTATGTAAAGTATAATATTTAATAAAAATAATAATAATATCCCAACAGAACAAATACTGGGTAATTTATTCAGAGGAAGTTCAATTTCCTCGATTTCTAAATTTATCTTAGTGTCCACAGTGCCAATGTGTGCAATTGGACAAAAGTGAAAAGAGATCCCTTTCATGCGCTGTGGGAAACCTACCGTTTTCCCGACGCGTTTTGTACTTTTTTTTTCCTGTTGTAGTGTCGCTGTCGCGTTCGCCAGTGTCCACCTGCTGCTGTTCTCATGGTTCTATTGATATGAAAGAGAACTCAGATGAGAAAAGGCCGTCCAAAGCACTGAGCTATTTCTCTGGTTCTCCTATAGCCGGTACTGGTTGTACTGGGAACACATCTCATTAAAGAAATCCCCGACAAACGCTGTGGAAAGGGACAGTTAAGAACAGCCCTCCAGCCTTGACCTGAATGTGTTTGAAAGGTACTGTATTACTGTGCCTCAGGAACCTTTTTTTTCTGATTAGTGAAGGACCTGAAGCATCCACTTTGCCAAGCTCCCCAAGCTGGAATCTAAAAAGAATCTGACGACAAGATGACAAGATATATAATTAGTTATTTTGATTTTAAAATATTCTAGACTTGGGTGATATTGAAGGGCTTGAATATTCAGGTGCAAATAATAATAAAATAATAATTGCTTACACTTATATTGCGCTTTTCTGGACACTCCACTCAAAGCGCTCAACAACACTCAAATGTTGTCTCTGACTTAATGTCGAACACATAAAAGAATATTCAAGGGGATAATTCGATTTGTCCTCTGGTGCATTCAGCTACAGTATACATTTCAGCTGAATGACCTTTTTATTTTATTTTTACAAGCTGACATAAAATGCATAACCTTGATTATCTGAATACTATTTGTTTCAGGGGAAACGTCACTATACTGGGAACATATATAAAACAAAGTATACGCGCTGTATATTTTTTTAAATTTGTTCTTTTGTGAAGAAAGGAAACTTGTTAGGTTTTGGGTACACATTATAAAGCTTCAGGATAATAGTTGCCACTTCTGATTAGTTTCAGATTCTCCATTTCACTACTGCCCTTTAATTTAAGTATTAGACCAAACAAAGAACAGTAGGTCTATAAGGTCCTCCCCAAATAAACAAAGGCTTTTAGCCAAAGCCTGAAGAACTGATCTGATCAGCTGGTTGGAAAGAAGATGCAGGAGATATGAGGTTCTTCTGGATTCTATTGCTGTTTGTCAAAAATTGTTGTCTTTTCTTTTGAAATTTTGAAAACGCTGCTCAAGGTTTTCCTTTGCTTTGATTTTTGTATCATCTGCAAACACGAAACCGAGCATCTGACATGCCTGGAACTGCAATGCGTCACAAACTGGCCTCCTCTATCCCAGCAGTCTCCATCCCCAGTCCTGGGGAGCCCCAGACTGGTCAGTCTTAGAGTTTAGAGCCTCCTGTTTTTTAAAGATTGGCAACACCTCTAAGCTATTGAGGACTCAAGCAAGTAATCTGTTCAATTAAAACAACTTCAATCCTTCAGGGATGATCAGATTTTAATCACTCATTTTAACAGATCACCTAATTTAGTTGATTAATTAAATTGATCACAATAGAACTGTTCTATATCTTTGGAAATTGGTGATTTAACCTATAAGATTGAGTGCTTTCCAGGACTAAGACTGAAGATCCCTGATCTAACCTCTTCAGTACTGTGCCAAACAGGAAGACTGCAACCATAGAGTCAAACATGTGGCATTTTTCTTGTACCGAGCACAATAATTCCAATAACATAATGCAATCCGATCAGATGCAATGTTTTGAATATTACCACAAAAGGCCCAGGAAAATGGCCAACACTCCTTCATGCATATGGTCGTGACTCACTTTTTTGCTCTTGGTTTTTCCAAAACAAAAAAGTCTTTGTCTTTGGAAACCAGTTTCAGTTTACTAATTGTCACATGCAAACAGGTCAAACAATGCTGTTTCCAATACAGGACACTGTTTGTCATATGCACATTGTCTTCACTTGCTGCAGAGGAGTTCCTTGCTGGGGTTATTCTGTTACATTTCTGATGACACAGGTACAGTACATGTCGTCTAAGAGATGCTAGATTGGTTTGTCACTTGGGTCAGCTGGCTGGTCTTCACCATGGATACAACTGTCATAGCTACTGATTATAGGATTATTAAATTCTTCAGGGGCCTTCCACCCATCCCATTTCCTGTATCCCTTTCTAAAAACAGTCACAGATAATGATAATATAATGTGCACAGCACAGGAGGGCTTAGTGTGAGACTCTTGCTGATGCTGGTTTTGAGGCTGAGTTTCTAAACTGGTCTGTTTAGGTCATTCTCACCTTAGAGACAGCCAGCGGTTAACAATACTTGTGTGCAATGGGTTGCTAGTGATTTTTATTATTGTAACAGCTCCTGACCACTCTTAATATAGCTTATTTTGAGAAGAGGTGAAAGAAACAGAGGTGGTTATTTAATAATCTTTCATTCATATTGAACAGAACCTTCAAAAACGTAAAGGTTTTTCACCACAACCTCAAGGATAATGAAGTGTTGTAGTAGCCATTAACCAATTAGATCGAACAAATTCAGAGCAAAATGTGTTACAGATTTGGCTGTTGCCGTTGTTGTTCGAGCAATGGACTGCTGCCCCTTTCTTGATTGTCAGCACAAAAGAGACTGCAGTCCTTACACCTTTAAACAAAGACAGCGTGTTCTCTTTTCTTTTCAACGTAACCATGATTCAAGTATCCGTCTTTTCGTTTAGATTCTCTAAAATGAAAAAAGAGTAACTATCGAAACATCCTGTTATAAAAAATGTTTGAATTTAAAATCGAAATTACTATGGCTGTGGGGTATTCATTTATTTTATATTGCAGTATAGGATACATTGTTTTAAACGTGCTACAGTTCAGGCTCTTAGGAGTTCCTTTTGCTATACAGTGTATTGAAGCTCTTTTTTCAGATTTTTTTCTCCAGTCTTTTCTGCGAATGTTTTATTCTTGTTTTTTATGGATTAACAATAATTTCCATGTCTAAGACGTCCGTTGTCAGAAATCAGAAATGTCACAGAAGACAACATTTCGTTTCTAAATTGTTTGGTTGATATCTTCTTTATAAACAAGTGAGTTGGTCCTAATAAATCATTTTTATAAATAAAAATGGTACCCAAGAATTAAATGTATATGAGGATGTTTATTGGGTATATAGATATAGTGATTTGATTTAACAAGCTTGGCTGAGGGCCACCTGAGACTTTTCTTACTTGTCTTTCTTGTGTTTTTTATGTAAAATGATTCTGATAAATATTCATTCCTAACGAATTTGTTGGCAGGCAAAGAGACACATTGCAGATGTACAAATCCCATCATAGTAATCAACACTATCTGTTTCTAGATCAATATATCATTTATTTGTGATAGATGATTATACACAAAACCTTTCAATCTTTACAATTAGAATTTTTACACCTACTCCTATCAGCACGTTTATCAAATTACAAAGTCGGTAAACTGTATTTTAATAACTGAGCTTACTAAATCACAAGACTTGTTTTCTTATTATTTCACAAACATCCAGAAAAGGCTGGTGAATCAGCCTTATTGTATCATTTGATTTTGAATGTTTATAGAAAAAATAAGGAAAATGTATATTGGTCTACATATAAATTAAGAATATTTAGACCATTTTATATTTAATATTAAAAATATGTTTAATTAGCCTTTTAGGCACAAAATAATAATTAACAATGGACAGTAAAGTCATTTACAAAGCTGAGGTCTAAGTTTCATAATGATCAAAATATAAACAGAAGTGGATTAAAATTCCTTAGACCGTTTTGGAAATATAACTCTTTGACTTTAAAAGAGGTCTCCTAAGTCACTCCACAGTTTTATTCTAAAACTACGTTGTTTATAATGTGACTACAACTATCGAAAGAGAATCACAACCTTAAAAAACAATCATCGGCTCAACATACCTAAATAAACTTCATAATGCAGAATATCTGTTTGGTAATTTGTTGATAGTTTGGTACCAAATGCATGACGTACTGAAGTTAAAACCCTTAGCTACTGTATGTCCAGATACTCATGCTGGAATGAATGCTGGAGTTGTGGACAGGTAGGTTAAGTATCGAAGACATGATAGGTGAAGTTCTCCTGATTGGGTTTGAAGCTGAAGTTGTAGTGGCCGATCCGCTTCCTGTAAAATAAGGCCACAACTGTCAGGGTCACAAGGAGCAGAAGACACAGGAGGACCCCCAGGACAATGAATCCTGTCTCCCGCTGGGAGTTCGGCGTCTCCTTGGTCACCGCTTCAGGAAATGAAACAGAAAGATTCATATCAGTTCAGAGTGGCTGCCAATTTTGAAGGTAGTAGTAGTTTTGTTAGGGCTCTTTAGTAAAGCTTGTGACATTACTTGTGAAGCTTGCGTGTGGAGAAAAATTGTGATTAGTGGTTGAAGAGACAAGTGAGACACCTGGGAAGAGGAAGGGATAATGAGATTATTTTTGTATTTTTGCAAACTATGCAGTCTAGTGGCTTGAAATTGGCTTTGTGGTCAAATATATAAATGTGCTGCCTGTGTGCCCAGAACATATGAAAGGAACTAACTTTTGTCTAGTCTGCAACTTAGATATCATATATGGATGCGTTGTTGTCTTATCATTCGTTCAGGACATGTGGTAGTAACTTGTTTGTTTTAAGGTATAAAAGATTCATTCTTGTATTGTTCAGGGATCTCGGTGGTTGCAAGCTGTTCTCCCATATGCATATGAAATAAGGAGACTTCTACTACACAGACACCTGGACTTTGTTATTTGTATGACACAACATGGTAGTGCCTCTGTCTGCTCCATTCATTTAAACCAATTCAAATGAAAATCATTTATTCAAACACATTGCCAAAATTCCCAAATGAAAGAGGGATGGGAGAAATAAGGATGGAATGGGTTAGTATGAACCCAAGACCTTTTTGAGTCATTAACGTTTTTGTCACAAAAGAGTCAAAAAACAACATGCATTGATCTACACAAGAGCAGGATGGGTTCTTTTAGACCTACTTACCATGTGAAGACCTGTAGATGGGTCCCCATGAGGCTTGGCCAATTTCAACAGCTTTAATAGACCTCTCTGACCGCTGTTCACAATGCTAAACAGAATGGGTTTAAAATGGATTCGCATTTTAATTATTTAATAAAGAGAACGTTGGATTGTTTACAAAGTTCAGAATCTCTTTCACATTCTACAGAGCTGGTTTCATGCAAATTTTGAGGTCTCGGCCGCAGAGAGGAATAAACAAATGCATAAAACTAAATATGTGTTAGAGATTGTTCTGTCTTGTGTGGCCTAATCATAATCACCTGCTCACTGTTTAGAAGACAGACTGCTCATCTAGGAAACTAACGATCCTTGACAACCTGTATATATGTATGTATACTAAACATTTCAGTGACAATATTGAAAAGTTGTGCCATGAGTCATCTGTCACCTTAAATAACTGAACGTACTGGGGGTGTCAAATATTTCTGGATTTATGATTCTTCCCAAGGATTTTGCCAACACCCACATCTCAAGACTCTGTTACCCACAGTGGACACAGAAATCTGAATGGATATGCAGTGAAACATCTGAAAATGTGGAATTTAATACTTTGCCAATAATATAATGAATTAAGTAACTGACACCCAGTGACACTATACTGTAAACAAGCGCCGTCTTCCGGATGAGACGTAAAACCGAGGTTCTGACTCTCTATGGTTATTAAAAACCGCTGATGTGGGATTAACGCAAGGATGAGTGAGAAGTAATTGACACCCAGTGTGTCTATTTACAAGCAATGGAGGTTCTATGTGGCCTATAGGGGCAGGTCAGCTGTTATGACACTCTTCTCAAAGGCCAGCCTGTCACATTGCCCTCTCCCAGCCTGCATCTCGTAGCCATTGCCCATTGAAGCGAAGTTCAGACACCTCTAACAAAACCACGAGCCACTCCCCACACTCACTTCCTGTTTCTTCTATGATTGCCTTAAATGCAAACCACAGACTAAAGATCACCTCAAGGAAACAGCCACTGCCATCAAAGCCCTCACCAACATTTAATTCGAGACGGACACACTGCCTGGCAATAACGTCATCTACATCCAGTACAGTAGTGACCTCTGAACATACGGGGGTACCTCGACATATCAGAAGCTACAGTATTCATCTTGTGTTGATGCTACAGAACCCGAAATCACGGGCTGCAAGACGTTTGCTCTGGAGTTGATAAACAAGATCTGTTCAAATCTGGGCAGGCTGTCACGGGAGCCTGAGGTCATAAAAACATATTTTTGAACAACAGTTCCAGAGATGCGCCGCCCCAACTTTTCTTTTAAAATTTCTTAACACTGTCAAAGCAAGCGACTGCTCACCGGTTTGCAGGAGGTTCCTGCAGTCTCGATACAGATCTGGACTTGACAGTGCAGGTAGATGACGCTGTGGTCGACGAAGGAGAATATGCGCAGGGACAGACGGGCTTTAGTGGAATTCCCATTCTCTATTACTGTGGTGTAAGTGTTGGGAATGGGACAGCTGAAAGGAGGAGATAAAGGGATCAATCTTCATTCACTTTCCCTGTTTGTTTCAGATCGTTCTCTAGGATAACACCACTCCAGTCGGGATTCTTGAATGGGTGTTTGTTGTTGTGCTAGAAAGTGTGTTACAGTGGCATAATACACAGTTAGAACCCACCATACATCAATTTATGCCCATCCCGGTGGCTTCGTGTTTGATAAAAAAAAAATCTAAAAGCAAAGGCATTTTGAAACAGCAACAGTCCAGCTTGTCAACTTGAGATGCAATGTCAAAGTTTTAAAATTAAACTCACTATTTAATTCAATTTGCTTGTCCATTAACTGGTTTAGCCTGATTTAGCCAAAGTAGACAGGGACAGAAGGAGTAATCCGTACTGTAGGTTGTACACATTTACTTGTGCCATGCCTTGTGGTCACCCTATATGACTGAATGCACTGGGGTGTCAAACACTGTAAACAGGATCTTATTGGAAGTGGAAGGTAAAACTGCAGTGAACGTTAATTTTTGCAGCTGTTTTGCTTCTGTGGTAGGTGAGTTGGTACAGCATCTTGCAGCAGCATGGCCTGCAGACTCAAGGTGAATCCCGCCTAGTTTAGCCACCATCAGTGGATGGGTGATCATTTGCAGCAGCCTTCTGAAGTCAGACAAAGGAAGAGGAGGACATGTGCTGGCCTACCTGTTTTTCATGAACATGTGAGTTGTAGGGTCAGATGGGCTGCTGGTGGGGGTAGCCCAGCACTCGTTGAGGATGAGCTTGACCTGGGTCATCGTCAAATTGATTCCCACTTCAATGAAGACTTCATCGTCTGGAGACAGGGAGTAATTTTTGGGGAGCGGAGACGTTCCATTCAGCAGTTGGATGGTAGCCAAGAAGATCCCTGATCCTTCAATGATATCCTTGATCATGTCAACCCTTTAAGAATAATACATGAAGGAAAACCACAAGTGGCAGGTGCAATCAAACGGTTGTTGTAAGAGAAATCTCCTTTCTGTAATGGGGCTCTAAGGCTGCAGTTAAATAAAAAACACATATTGCTCACTACTTGGATGGTTCTGGAAAACGTTAACTCTATTATATATGCAGCATCTGAAAGAGAAGAAATGGTAGTACAAAACTGACATTCGTACTCTACTGGATTATACATTTCTAAAGTTAAAGAATCTGCTGTTTTTTAATTAATATTGTAAATATCAGCATAGCAAATGTGATGTAAACAAGTGTAATGTCTTAAAAAGAGCAAAAAGTCAATAAAGTTTTGAATTTGAACTTTCACAAATAATGAATCCCATCAGCTCTGGGTATGTAACAATGGGACCTTTTTTTACAAATAATTGTACAACAGACAATATAAAGCTTATCAGAGCACAGCTGTTTACAGAAATCTAAAAGGGGAATTAAGAGATCTTGTTACACCACCACAAGATCACATCCTAAAAGTGTTCAGATTCCTTACTTTGACATCAGTTTTCAGAATGTCCTGGAGTCTGTCCAAGACGTTAAAAGAAACATAGAGGCCCCAAAATTATAGAGCACATGGTTTTTTAGTTTTCTCTCCACCTTGACCTCCAGTGACTTAAATTACCTCAATAATTTCTTTAATTGTGTGAAATATATCATTTTGTACCAGCTTCTAGTTCAGGGATAAATGTTTCCTGATCCCAAAAGCCATCTGTATTTTTGGGATCAGGATTAGTGAGGCGATTTGCTGGAGTTTTATCACATACAGTGGATATTCCTTTTCCAGATCTACTGTAGATCATTTTTGTAACTAGAGGCACAGCGTATAGTGTTTTTTTTCCTTGATAACCATCTCACATAAGTTGGTCACATGACAACAATAGTGATAGCTGGCAGGACTTCAGTCACAAAGAACATGATTGTTCTTCACATGAAGGACATGACACAAGATGAACTTGAGCTTCATTGTATTACTACGGGACGGTACGTCCTGGACCAGTGGTGCCAATATGTCACCTCATGCTCCTTGGCTGTGAAGGTAGCTTTTTAAGGGAAAGTGCCCGGTGACTGACAGCAGGACTCTTACCCTGTGGGGGTGTAGCCGGTGGAGATGAGCAAACTGTTGCTGTAGGTGCACTTGACTGGGATTTCGATGTACACCCTGGGGGCAATGGATGAATCCACAGTGCGATTGTTGAGCAACGTTGTCCAGGCCGTAGTGTGGGTCCGATTCTGAAAGGCAACACGCAATGACATAATTACCTCTCCTGATTACATTCCGGAATGGTGGAGGCCACCATCATTCGGAACCAGCAATGAGAACATGTGCTGAAAAAGGTGATGTTCAGTAAGTAATCAGAAAGGGAAGAACAACAAGTAAGAGGCAACAGTTCCTTGCTGCTACGGGTTTGTGCTAATACTTTTATTTCTGAATGAAGGGGCCTCATAATATTCTTACCGATTTATTTTCATTGCAAACCTGTCGTTGGTCAGATATTTTATTTTCGATCAGCATTTTTCATTACATGACCGCTATTTCCCAATATTGTTCACATTAACCACTTTTAATTCTTCTGCTGTTTCTGAGGATGATGCAACAAGGTAGCTGGTGTGTCCATTTTGCTGTAGGTCTAGATTACAATGAATAGAGCAACTCTAACGTCATTTTGCTCTAGCCTTGTATAACATGTCTGCATTTTACAACTTAATGCTCCCAAAACAACTTGTGTTTCCATTTCATTGTTCAGTAATCACAATGTGTCATTTTACATGCTGCATTTTAAATAATTTAAGACTACACTACGACTGATTTTTATAAGTCAGTTCTGTCAGATTTTAATAGTATCTACAGTAAATACAGCATTGAATTGATATAATTACCCTACAGAGCCAATCAGGTCATTAACACTCCAAACAAGCAGAAATGAGCCTTAATGGACTAGATTTTTTTCCACTTTGTAGAGGAATGCTCATACAAAAGACAAAGAGCTCTCCTGAGCGCTTACATGCACAAGCTTCGTGTCACAATTATCCCACATGGCTGTGAGCTTCACATGAGTTTCGTTGGTGCTGCTCAGGCCACACTCCGTCACTCCCAAGAACAGGGAGCTCTCTGCGATGGACTTCCAGGTGAGAAAGGCCTTCGAAACCGTGACTGAGATTTCATACAGCCGGCAATCAACAGTGATGGCATTATCCACATCCACCAGAGCCCAGGACGTAGGGTTTGTGTGTAGGAGAGGGGGCGCAACTGCTGTGGGGGTCTTCGAGGTCTCCGAAATGGAGATGCTGGACGTCACAGTTTTCTCAGTCGCCACAGCTGCGAAGGGACACATGAGGACAATGTAATTTTACAAACGTTGCACTGAAGGTAACAATCGGGGCTGCAGAGCTGCAGTCCTGCTGGGTTGCTGTGCCAGTCGGGTTTTAGTCCAGTTCAGCTTCTAAATGAGACTGGCTGACGTACAGTACATATTGGCTAACTGCAGCAGTTTAACAGCTTTTCCTGGCTCTCAAGGTGTGGCCGATTTGAGGAGACCAACCAAACCTGCTGAACGGCTGTCCTCTGGGACTGGAGCTGAGCACCCCCACTGACCAAATTTAATTTCATTCTGTCACTAGATTTCATATTGTTTATACTGTAAACCTGTTCACATTAACACTGACGCACGGAAGAACCCGTCCAAATAATATTGTAAACTACAACATGAAGGAATTAGAATAATAAACATTCTTATGAAAGGAGATAAAACTTCAAGAATTCGAGTTTAGTTTTAATGAGTTTTAATGAGTTTTAATGAGTAACAATGTTGTTAATTTAAAAAAAACCATATGTAGTATATCATGTAAACTCTATTCTGTGCACCTATTTCCATTCAACTGCTCACACATTACTAAAAATCCCTTTAGGCATGTATGTTGTTTGTCATGTACGTAGATCAGAAGCTATTGTCTAGAAAGAGAACCAATTATTGACTGCAAAGAGAAGATGCGTCGTGTTTTATCAAAAGCACTATTATATGCAGAATGCAGTCAGCTACAGTATGTTTTTAGACTTAAAATAGCAGAACAGAAAATAAAACCAGTACAATAAAACCACGGTCTTTATGGGCCATCTAATGATTTTTATTACCAAAAATAACAAGGTTTAAGATGGGTGAAATATAGGTTCAAATTACTCAGATTACTAAAATCACTTAGCTATCAATCAACCGAATGAGAAAGATGGGCCTGACAGCCTCATCTTGTCTTCCACATTTCTTTAGTTCGGATCTAAAGCAAAACATGAAGGCTGGGCTTGAGGCAAACATGGAATTCTTATTTATACAAAACAAGGCTGCCTGGATATTTTCTGATCAACACAAAGCTGCTTTTATTCATGCCTGTCTGAGCCGCAATTACTTCCAAAATACAGCCAGCTTTTGAAGTGGTCCTGATTACCTGGGGTTCACTCGAATAATGCCTTTGAATAGGACTCTTTTTAAGACTAGGAAATAAAAGCACAAATGAGGTTCACAGGAAAGTTAATTGTAAACAGGTGTATGTGTGTGGGTTGTTCCTAGAAACATACAGTTCCATATTTGCCATCAATCAAATATGTTAGTTTATTCCACAGGTCGGTCAATTGTCTGGAAACATAATCGTCAAGAAACACATTTTTCCTTATTTACTTTCTCTTTCCAAGTCACTGATGCAGTAAAAGTGTAATATACACCTTCCAAACATAAGGTGTGGAATCTGTTCAGAAGGCTCATGGCCTTTTAATGACAGAAATTCTCTCTGGTTGGTCCATTTACCCAGTTAGTAATTGAGTAATAAATTGCTATAGTAATGCGTGCTTTGGTGGCAATACATATCCTGCAGATTATTCATGAACACAATTGAGAAGTTTTGTAAGCAAGCCAGGATTGAAAAACACCTGAGATTTACATGAAGCTAAAAATAGTTAAATCAGCTTAGTTAATTTTTTCTACCACCCTCAGTGCTCAGTGAAGCAAAAGAAAAAAGGCTTTGCTGTGCTTGTGTGGACATTAGAAATAGAAAAACTGAAAAACAATTCACAGAATGGCAGCAATTCTGTTTCACTTTCTCCTAGAGTGATAAAAACGGAAGATAATATTCTAAGGACTGAAAATGTCTTATTTAAGAATTGCAAAGCTCAGTGAGTAAGAACAGGAATGACCAGTCTTTGCAATCTGACTTTCTTCTTTGCAAAAGTCCACTGCATACAGTATATACCATAACAGCAGTAAAGGCCTCACACAGTGAAGTTCGACAGCACAGACCCATGCAAGGAAGACAGATGGAAGTATGTGCATACCAGTGAATGCATCATCATTAGGGGAATGGTTGCTTTAAAGCTATTGCAGTCACGTCTGACACTGGAGAGCTTAAGGATGTGACAGGAACACGATAAGCGAGATAGTATCAAACCCCTTAATCATATAGTCAAAGCATTTAAACAATGTTTTACCAACCACGATGAAAACGTGGCTTTGTCTTTTCTCTCCGTGCTTCGAACGGACTGTGTGTTCAGATGCCGATCAGCTTAGTCAGACTGTAATCACAGTATGGATGTTCTGTACAGATGGGAGCTACAATCCTGCAACCAGCTTTACGAGCATTCGCCATCACTAACGTATCAGGGGACTGAGGTCTAAAATGAGGCATTAGCTTAGCCCCCAAGTCCTCAATGTGGAACAACATACCACATTTCTAGGCAACTTGAAAAGGCAGAAGACCAGATTTTTAGCCAAGGAGTCTCAAATGAAGGCAGTGCAGTGCTGCTTCCTTTATGGGCAGCCAGCTGAAGGGTGGGATAATGGAACGAAAGATTGATTTTTGCATGGACACTCCTGCTCGGGCTCACTCAACACAGGTGGCTCAGGCTCATGAGTTGCAGCTGCAGCCGCTGTTGTCATTGGTTTTGCAAGAGGAGGTCATTTTCCACCATATAAGGAAAAATCAGGGCCGTGATGCCCTTTTACCCATGGAAAATCAGGGAAGTTTCCTTCCGTTACTGCGGCCCTCCTGCAAATGTGTGATAAAAACAATGTAGATTCCGTAACAAGATCTCCAATAGACCAGGGATCTATAAACGGGAAAATGACAAAAACAAGAAGCCTTAAGTGCAGTTTCAGATTACCAAGAAGATAAAAAGGAGGGTGAAGGAGACCAACACAGACTCAGTGGGACAGGTCACAGAAACATTCCACACCAGGAAGCCTGTTTTGTTACCGTGAGATGTTGGCAGGTGGGGTAGCCCCTGCCACTCATGGTTTTCTAAATGGATTACAAACAACAGACACAGGAAGGAACAGGAGCAGAATATTTGAATAGGTCAAGGAGAGTAAATCGAAAGGGAAGGTGTACGGTTTCAGGAAAGTAGACGGTTTTGAAGGTTTAAAGAGAAGTGGAATATTACGGGAATCTGTTGAGAATATCACAGATATTCTGCATAAAGAATGTAGAGAGAAGAATAAAATGTAAGCAAAACTCTATAGCAATAGCATGCTGATTTAAAAAAAACATCCTTAACTTGAAGGAATAATAGGGTAACAAGAAAAAAAAATATATGTAACAGTATGACAGACATACTCTTATCAGTAAAAAAGCATCTGGGTGATACAGTCTGGGTATAAATTTATGGTTCTGCTAGAGATGTTGTAACTGAATACTCAGCTCAGTTTCATCCATTTCAACTCTCTGTTTCTCCCGAAGGCACAAAGTTAAATCACATTAAAAACAAAACACAGTTGTTTTTTTTACCAATTTTCAAGGTTATGATGGTACTTAGAAAAGTTGACAAAACAACACTCAGAAAGTCCTGCACTGCCCTGAGTTTGTAACACACTGTACCTATGAGAGTGGGTGTTTAGGCTCTGCATTGCATTATTCTATGAAGAAGCAACTTTCTTGTTTCACATGCTAACAAAGAATAGTTACGTCTATGATCAAAGGCTGCAGTAGGAGTTCTTAGAAAAATATCAAGGCAAATTGCCTTGTAACAATACATCATAGAATTTCAAAGAAATTATTTGATTGTTCATATAAAATATGCAGCTGTTCTTTATAAGTATTTTAATGTATTGAGACATTGAAAAGGTGAGAAAATAATTTCACATGTAACCACGGCTAGAAATTCAGGAATTTGTTTATAAGAATGATGATCACACGATGAATCAATTTGTGGATGAACAACTGATAAAAGAAATGTCTGCAGTCTGTATACGAGGGCTATGAAAGTCAAATCCTAAATGGCTGAGAGTCTTCTTAGCCCCGTTCCAAACAATTGTTTACACAACTGGTGCAATTATTTAATTTGCTGTAGAATTGTAATACTTCTAACTACAGGAGGCTAAGCTGTTAATAAACTGTGTGTGTTGAGTGTTCAACTGTACAGGACCTTAAGAAAAATCTTACATATTCCTACATGCAAAAGCGATTAGATCAGTCACTTAATGGACTGCTCGGGCTGCAATAAAGCCAGGAGGCAATATCCCCCAGGAAGACGAGACCGAGAGCCCGCGTGCGTGTTGTCACGGGCCTGATGGTCGGTACGATACCTGCACAGAGCCTGCCAGGCTGGCTCGGGTCTGCGTCAGCGAAGCCGGGTCTGCAGGCGCAGATGTAGCCCCCCACAGTGTTCTGACAGGCGGCGCTTTGGTGGCACATGTTGTTGCCCGATTCACATTCGTTTACGTCTTAAAAGTGGAAATACATTTTATAGGTTAGTCAGTCAAAGCATGCTGGTTGATCACGTGACCGAGGGATCTGAGCACTTGGAGACTCCACCGCTACGCGGCCCACACAGTTCTCCCGTTTCCAACAAGAGAAGCTGGAGCCAATTCAACTAACAGCCTGCACAGCAGCGGTGGTGGGAGGTTCCAGATTTACATTCCAGTCATTTCCGAGAGCGATTAAACGATGAAACACCGTGAGAGAATTGCCCTGACCGACTGACGGAGTGCAAAGATAGCTGGTGTGTGCAGAACACATGCGGTGTTTCTAGGATACTGTACAGCACCTGCACAGTGCCGGCCCGGCTGACTGGGGTCTGTGTCGTTGAATCCGGGCTGACAGGAACAGCTGTATCCCCCAACGGTGTTCTGGCAAACTGCATGAGGGCTGCAGGTGTTGCTGCCACTTTCACACTCATTGACATCTAAAAAGACGGATATAACACATTGTTATCAAATCTAATTGTTATCGTTATAGACATTACCTATCTGCCTCAATTATGCATCCTTACTTCCAAGACTGTACCTGCGTGAAGCGCCCGATGAGGAAGTTCTACTTCCTGCACTGCATGCTCAGAGGGCATACCAGCCAATCAACCTATTTATTAGAGCAGGGGTACCGAGTTTGCAGCCCTTCCAGTCTGATCCAACTCAGTACTTTCAGACAACCAGCTCCTAGGTTGCTGCATTTATCCTGCTAATCGCTAATGGACAAATTAAGGAGATGATCACAAAGCGCTGTAATTCCAGTCCAATTCCTGTGTTGTTGATTCCAGTTCCAAAACTGATGATGCTTTTAGTTACAAAAAGTGTAACTAAACAACTCTGGCACCAAATGTCCACCATAACGCCCTACAGGTTGGAAAATAACATTTACTATTCAGACTGCATTCTTAGTCAAATATCATGAAACCAAAAATAAGTAGAGGAGGCCCTGCTTGCTTTTATCATACAGCAGACAAGCCTCTAGGGACTAAAGGATTGGGCAGCAAATCTGTGCTCTTTCCTGAACGTCCCTGAATTTGTCCAGTAAGTGGATTTTTGTTGGAGGAGGAAACCCTGACCAGCACACTCCTGCACTTTGCAAGACTGTGTACTGTATATTATGGTCTACAGTAAATCAGACATTTCCTTAGGACCTGCAACAGTATCTTCTATTGTCAAACCAGCTGAGCCATCTGTTACGTAACCATATTAATTTGTCAGACAGAATTTTAGGCTAAGATAAGGTGAGCTCCCTTATCACCTGGAAAAAAATGTGAACCCAACTTGTTTTCTTCTGCTTGTGGCGACAGCATCAAGTGGCTAAGCTGGGGGGGCATGTGTGCCTTCAGGCCAGCCTACCTTCACAGCTGCGCCCGGGCCTCGCAGGGTTGGTATCTGTGAAGGCGCTCCTGCAGGCACATCTGAAGGACCCCCAGGTGTTCTCACACACGGCGTGAGGAGAGCAGTCCTCGTCCCCTGCCGCACACTCGTCGAAATCTGCCCGGACGCAAACAACCCCCGTCACACAGACACGGGCTCCTCAGCTGGCACAGAGACTGGCCCACCTCTGCTCACTGCCCCTGAGTTCTCCCTGGTGCTGAGTGCTCTCGTGGAACATCGAGACCCCCGTGTTCCAGGGCATACGCAAAGAATTCCACCCTAGCCTCATCTATCCCAGCATTCATCCTCGTAAGCTGACGTTATGCGCCAAAAATTTCAAAACTTTTTTTTTTATCATAATGAAATAACGCCTCTTGGCGACTTCACTTTCTCAAACGCACAATGTTTAATTTCGCGTTGCGCTTTGTCCCGCAAGAAAGACGAGAGGCGGCGTGCAGCCCCGGACTGGTGTGACGTACCCTCGAGGCCCGTGCTGTTGCGGTCGACGTCGTATCGCGTGCTGTTCTTCAGGGAATCCAGGATAGCTGTGGACACGGCGGTCATGTTCTGGGCTAGGCCTGGCGAGAAGAGCACGAGGAAGTCCACCATCACGCTCCCGCTGCTCAGGCGGGTGATGACAATGCTCACGGCCCTCAACTCCACCAGGGCTCGGACGTCTGGCGGGAGAGACTTACAGATCTGATGGAGGAAAAGGACTGTGAGTGAGCTCTTTCCAGCCGTGGGGCCCAGTACAGTAGAGGCCCCACTGTACAACAGGCATTTCCTTAGCTCCAGTGCTGTATAAATGTGCAGCTTTGTTGGTATTGTGGGTTATGCATTTGAACAGGAAGGTTCTGATACAAGGCTTCATCATAATGCAGACAATACAGTGAAGCCTCTTTCTTCACTTCGCCCTCCCCAGATTGAGATTTCCAATTTCTTCATCCATCATTCTCTTCCATTGTCTCAGACCAGGGGGTTCCCAGTCTTTTTGGTCAGCTGAACCCCTTCAACCTTTATTATTGGCCTTAAGTAACCCCCCCGAGATTTTAACTAAATCAAACCTTTTAATAAATGTAGCTAGATGCTACAGCAACCCTCTTAACATGTTTGTTTTCACTTTGTCATATATTCATATTACTACTGTTGTTTTTCTTATTCTTATTATTACATTGTTGTTTATTAATTGGACTATTTAATTTGACACTGACGTTTCCATCACAATCTCACGGGTTGGGAACCTTAGACTAATACCTGCTTGTGATATTCTGCTTCGTTTACACTTTAGGCCATGTAAATTGTACACACACATATACATTTGCCCTAGCCTGAACAGTACAGTACAAACTGGTAGATCTGATATCAGGAAAACCTTTCTTGGCATTTATTACTTTCATTATAGTATAAATACCAAGAGAGTTTTGCGCTGATTCAGCAATGTTCTCTTCAAGGTTAACTGGTTGAACGAATAAGCACTCCTTAAAATAAACTTAACATCTTAATCATATACAAATTAGTGAAAGGAGAAATAGAGGGGTGGCAGGAATTTTCCTCTAATGTTTTTAGACGTGTTAAAAGTGTGCACATTGGGGCATTGCTCCTGTTTTTATCTCGTTGATCAGCTTTTTTCTGTTCATTTAGTCGATGACATCCTAGGGAAAAAAGGAAGCTGTGGCAGATTCAGGCAACATTTACATGCAGAAGCAATTCCTAGTCTGCATGTAAAATGAACCTAAAAAGAGTCTGAGCTTAGTCAGCTGCTCAACCAGCTCTTTAATAAAATATGCAAGAAGTCTAAAAGTATGGCCCGACTCCACAAGCCACTGTAATCGAGCTTTCAAAAGGACCTTGATCTGACAGTTCTTTGACAGCCTCCACAAGTACATCATGGGAAGCATCCTGTTTAAAGTAAATATCTCGGCATGCAAAACTGCTCGACTACACCCACCTCCATCCAAATGTCCCGCGTCAGATTTAAATACTCTCCACTGCTGCTGTTTCGTAAGGCCTCTGTAAACTGCACGTTCGTTAGCCGGGATCTTCCTCTGAGCGCTTTTCCCTCTGTGGACAACCAAAAGTACCACCTGTCATGTCGAAAGCTGCAGATGCATGTGAGTTTAACAAGAAGAACGTCTGCAATATGCGTGCACCATGCAAAAAAGCAGTCCAAGTCCAAGTAATGGGCTAACTGTCTGTAAGTCCAGAGAAGTTATAGGAGAGATCAACAGATCAGGACATTTTGAAACACAATTTAAACGCACCACGACTCATGAAGCAGTGGGCACAAGTTGAAACTATGTGGAAGAGCATTTTTAAAACCAAGAACAGGAGGCGCGTCTTTGCCCCAAAGAGTTGTGGGAGTGTTGAATGAGCCACCCAGCCATGTTATTGAAGCCAAAATCTGGATTGTTTAAAGAAATGGCTGGACAAGATCCTCAGATCAATTAACGACTAACTAGCCAATGGGCTCGATGGGCCCTCTCCTTTCTGATGTTCTCATGTTTTTCAATTTGCCTCACCTGTCTTGACGTCCTGAGAGGTGGCATTGCCTTCCTGTCCGCAGGCCCTGGAGGTGACCCTGACAGTGTAGAGCACGCCAGGCTCCAGTCCTGTGGCCTCCCAGCTGAGAAGCTCAGTCTCAGCTCTGTCCACGCTCTGCGTGCCTCTGAGCAGCTGAACGACATAGGCCTGCCTGCCCACGGGGGAATCCACAGACCACCGCATGTAGAAACTGGAGCCCGTGACATTGAGGACCACCAGGTTTTTAATGAGGGCTGGGTCTGTGGAAGAGAGAAGGAGGAATAGTCAGTCAGGGTGCATGCCGGTCTCGGCTACCACTCATGCAAAAGTGGACCTAACTTTTTTGCAATGTTTCAGCCTGTATCTTTCAAAGTGTACTTTGTCAAAGAAGATATCCAAGATATCTTATTGGATGTGTTTTATAAAGGGATTTGATTTTTAATCAAAGATAAACCCATAGAAAGACATTTCTGCATCAGTGATTTTGAAATGATGTTACTGTTTTAGCAAATTTGCTCACCGATTCATTTGGAGACCATTGGAATTGTGTGATCTACAGTCACACTTCCTTATGCAGTGATGCAGGAAGATGGCCATGAAACCTAAGTGACTGAACTCTGTGTGTATCACGCAGAGGGCTGGTATTATCCAGTGTTAGGGGGAATTATCCGACACCGGTGTTTTGATCTCAAGTCAAAAACCCCAAATGCTGGATTGCGCGTCTTCGCGATGGTGAACTGGGCAGACCTCCGGGCAGGGAGAGAGTCTGCACTGACCAGGGCAGTCCTCCAGGGAATCAGCCCTGCAAGCAGGCACGCTCACACAAGAAGCACATAGCATGCTGCATCCTGATCTCGTCACGGTTGAGAACATTAGGTAGAAGATCAATGTCACACCAGGACAATCGGCTTCTTGCAAAGCATTTTCAGCAGGAATGGTGTGGATTTGTGACCAGAGGTCTCGGCAGTGAGGGGTAAGAGCTCGCTGTCCAGAAAGTACTCACGGCAATTGCGGGCCAATGCTGTCTGGGACTCCATGGTGAGAGGCGCAGTGGTGCTGGGGTACGATGCAGTTGTGGGGTGCTGTAAATGGTATGAGGCCTGCGGAGTAGTTGTGCTCCAGGGTGGCTCCGTTAATGATGTGGAATGAATGACCACAGAACTGGCACCTGGAGAAATGGTACTTTTCACAGAGTCTGCTTGCGTGCTGGTCGTCAGCAGGGCCTCGGCAGACTTGCCTGAGCCGCCCCCTGCGGCTGTGGAGGTGGGACTGATGCCTCCAGAGGGTGAAGAAGCAGTGAAGGGACTGGGTCTGTCTGGAGTCTCTGTGACGTTCCAGAGAGAGACTGTGCTGCTGGACCGCGACTCCGAGACCGTGGTCAGGTTGGTCCAGGGGCTCTGTGTCGGAAGCACGGGTCTTGAAGTGACCAGCAGCACCGTGGCCCAGTCGCCCTTCTGTTGCGATGTCGCTGGGGATGGTGGATCTGTACTGCTATTATAGTGTGTCTCACTCGCAGTGCTGTTTTGTAACAGCGTATCTGTAGCCGAAGCATCAGAAGAATAGTTGTGTGTCCATGACATCATTGTACTACTTGTGAAGGACGGTGTTGTTTCTTCTGTGGGATCCGCACTATGAGAGGGACCTTAACAAACAACACAACACTTCCCTGCATTAGAACATTTTTGCCGCAGATTTAAGATCTACACCGCCTGAAAAGTAAATGTTGCTTGTGCTAAATATTTAATCCTGCATGCAACACTGGTAAAGCAGAACTCTTAGTAAACTGTGCAACCGATCAAGGGGCATTTCCCTGCTTTACAAAAGCTATATGAAATCCAGACCTTGCTTTTTCTATATCAAGCTTCCCATAAAAAAGATTTAATTACAACAATTCTCGTATATCTAGTAGTCAGCGCAGAAGACAGCAACTACAATTTTACATAATTGATTAAATGCAATACCTTCTGTGACAAGAAATTAAATGCAATTCCTTTAAACTCTACCTGCATCTAAATATATTGAGTTCATATTTTTCTACCAGCTTTGGTCTAATCTTTCTTTATGTGAGATCCTCACAGAATTTGATACCACACGCACCGAGATGAATCACTGCGAAATTCCAAGCTGTACCCAGCTGTGTCTTAAAGTCAGAATCAGCAAAGCACCAGACACCCCAATGTCCCCCACTTACCTAAACAACCTGTGACTGTCCCGTTGGGGCTTGAATCTGTAAATCCTTCGTGACATGAACAGTTATAGGATCCCTCAGTGTTGAGGCAATTTGCAGCTGGGGGACAGCTATAGAGTTCTTCATGGGCACATTCATCTACATCTGTAAGCAGAGACAGCATTTTAGACATGTTTTGTAGTCTAGAGATAATGCAGATTGCCTTAACAATACTTGGAGTAGCTCCTTCTCTCCTTGCAAACATTCTAAACAAGAAAACCATTTACTTGATCATCTGTATGTTTTGTAGAAGACTACCTTTAACTTGGCAGGCAGGGTAAAAATTGCCCAGCAGGTGAGTACTGCTCGTTTAGTTTAAAGAGAGGAACATGCACCTCACTGTGGAACCCGAAACCAACCTTTCACAGGGAAGACAGTGAAATGGGATTTTCAATCTGATGCATGAGACCAAATAGGGTCTATGAACACTTCACCTCCTCTTCCCACTGGGAAGAATCCCTTTGTCCATTTCCTGAATCCAATTTTTAATTAAAATTAAATTAAATTTTTATTCAAGTCAGGCCTATCTATCACAGAAAACAGTCCCCACAACTAAATGAACGATTCAGTTCAATAAACAGTACATTTAACGAATATAACATTTCTTCTGAACAACTCAAGCAGAGAAGGTCAAGATCTCTTACACAGTTTACAAGAAGGGAAGTCTGGTAAAAGCTTCATTTCCACCTTTTCTTTCAAGATACTAATTAGCTATTGTCCTGTTGATATTAATAGCAAAAAGCAGACAATAGGTTTTGTTGGTGTCACAGTGACACTGACACGAACTGGATTATCTGGTTAAAACCTGGACTAGCAACCTCACATAAAAGAACAATTTGACTTTCCGTTTAGTTTTTTTTTTAAGAAATGGCATCTTTATGTGGATGTGAGGGTGTGAAGAGTTTGAAACCGGCTGTCTGCCCCTGACAGAGCCCCCGGCTGATGGCTTGGGAAAGTGGGCTCTGCGCGGCAGAAGTGCCATGTCACTGCTTCGGCTCAGGTGATTCTGTTTTTCTATTGTTTACACAATAGTGCTTCTGACATGCAAGCGAATGGTTCCCTGATTTTCCTCGTAAACTGAGACAGTGATGAAAAAGGGGAAATCTGCAGTACAGCAAAAACTGAGTGTTTATGTAGTTTCTTCTACTGTATGTTGTCAAATTGGGGAAGCAAGAAAAAGGCAAACAGAATAATTTAGGGTATATAGCCAAAGAGGTGGAATTTAAAGCAAGGGCACTCACATTTACAGTTATTTTATGCTTCAACAAAGTTTACAACACATAAGACCCCACTTACAATTGTGTTTGGTTTTTGTCACCATACCACAAAAAATATATTATAACCTTAGAAAGGCCTTAAAGAAGAGAAACAAAAACTCTTCATTCTGCGTCTTGGGGAGTTGCCATATAGAGGCAGTCTAAGTGAGCTAAAGGTCTTCAGTCCACTGAGAGTGCATTTAATTTGCATTTAAGGGGTACAGACAGGGACAACCCAGAGAACAGTTTCACATTCAGCAAGGAAAGAAGGACAAAAGGTCACAACTGGAAACTGAAAGGGAATTTAACTGGGACAGAGAATAGAACACAGGTCTCTACACAGAGACCTGTGTGTGTCCGGAGCAGGCTGCCCATGTTCTGCTCTCTTGAAACACCTGGGTGAAACGTTTGATTCACTTAGCAGATACGCTCCCAGACTGACGCCAAACAGGCCGAATGACGTCCCCCTTGGCGATGACCGTGACGGAAGACTACACCCACACACTCTTTGCACTCCAGTGCGCGGCTAGAGATGGCAGCGGAGCAGGAGTGCATCGTGGGTATAACGACGTACTGTACAGCGGTGAGCTCAGCTGACGCGGATATTGACAGAGCTTCTGCACCTGAGAGGAGCCAGCTGGCCTCTCTGGCTCGTTTGACACGATGGAGCTGAAGGCCTATGTGCTCCCCTTTCAGGATCCTGCTGCTGTTGACCGAAATCCGGCGAAACAGCACCCCCCGCGACCCCATCAGCCCGCGCTCTTCACCTCGCACGTCCACGGCGGACACCTCCTCGACGCGCTGGACGATGAGCTGCAGCAGGGCGGCGAGGTCGCGCACCGAGATGGGCCGGCCCGCTCCGACCAGCAGCTGGGAGGCGGTCAGGAAGGGGCTGGGAGAGTACGAGTGAACGTGGTGCACAGAGAGAGCTGGAGAGTCCACAGCCCCAGTCACCTGGGGGCAGAAGGAGAAGATCCCAGTCAGGCCGTGACTTGGTTCTCAGATTCGTTGGCTCTGAGGAGATTGGTGGAGGGGATCACTGCACACTTCGTCAAGAGGCTGAATGACGATCTTTAGTCCATAGATGTTTATGAGCTCCTATGTATACAGGAGAGGCAGGTACTGTATGCACTATAGACGGGCAAACTCAATGACTGGGACTCAATGACAGCTCCTTGTGCGAACATAAGGGGTTTAGGTTCATTTGTATTTTGCAAAAAAAAACCACCCAACTCTAAGGAGGTCTAAAGAGGCCAGATCTAGTCCACATTACAGACATTACAGTCCTCACCTAAAAATGCAAGAATGAACTCGACTCCTGGAGCTGAGCACCAAGGCATTAACTAGGTCTGGACCTTCGTACACAGTCAGGACACTTGCGATACTGAGAGCTGTGAAATGCACTACGATGAGAGGTCGGAAAAACAGTTGGATTTTTGGGGGTTCCAAACCTCTTTGGCAAAGTGCAATTCTGTAAAGGCGCAACAGTCCTTCCCAACTGCTAGAGCATTGAAGAAACAAAGACTACCTCACACACAGTATTGTAGATGAGTAATAACATGGACTTCATTGGCTAGAAAAACTTACTACTGAGTGCAAGAGCCGCGTGTGGTTCAGAAGTCCTCTGTCCTGGCTGTGAAGTTCCTGGTAGTCCATCTTCACTGTGATAGTCACATTCACATACCAGCGTCTTTCTCCAGCTAGAAACAGAGCCCTGACATTATTCTGCACTTTCATTTACAATGCAAGCAGCCAAACGGGACAGTGACCAGCTTAGTTTTCTGCTTCGTCCCCTGGCGGATGATTGGAAAATGAAGGAATTAAGAAATGAAGTAGAATTACTCATGGGAAGGACTATAATACTTCCTGCGTGATCTGGACAGGTGTGTAAGAATCCGAATAGATGGGAAAACAAAAACTCTCTCTGGACTCAAAGACAGACACAGTTTATATTCGCTAGACCTCAAAGTCCAGGATAATGCGGAGTTGCAGTTTTGTGTGGATTTTTTTTACTTACAGTCAATACTGGTAAAAAATAATACCAGTAGTACAGAACTGTACAATAAAAAATAGGAATAGTAATGCTTTCGATTTAGTTTCCACAGTCCGGAGAGTTTAATTTCTATCATGTGTTAATCTAATGAATTAATAAATAAAATCATAATACTGATCACTAGCAAATATGTAGCAATATCCCTACGAAATTAAAACATGTATGTTATGCACGGAAGTTAATGAAAATATATGAGTAGTTTAAAATAATATCTATTGTTCCTCTGTACGTACAGCTATTGCAAAACTTTCCAAACACTCTGTGTTGCCCTGGGTAAAACAAACTAATGATAATTGTAGCAGTAGTATAATAGCCCCCTCACACTGCCTGTGTCAGGCCGTCAATACACACGGCGAGTCCAGAAAGGAGCCAGTCCTCTCACCTGCAGCCAGAGGGCTTCT